GGAATGCTACTGGTACTGCTCACTTAACTCCCTCTTTCTCCTTTGCCTTCTCTGTCCTCATCCCTAGGCCACCGTCTGGGGTCGTTTTCCACAGGTTTTTATGTACTGCTTTCTATTTTTCAAGCACTTCTGTAAAATGAGCAGCATCTGACCCTCAGAATGCAGCCAGTACTGATGGCGGAGTAAGCAAGACTGCGTGAAGTATTTTGGAAGCTGATAAAACAGGTACAATTATCAAAGGCAGAGAAAGGCTCTCCAAAACAAAAATGCCTTCTCCTTAAAAGTCTATGGATTCTTTAATGACAAAAGATTGCCAAGGATTTCATTTAAATTTCACCAAAACGAAAGCATTGCTCTTTTTGAGAAAACTCTCTTGGCACAACTGTTGTTTTAGCACTAACAAGAACCACGTGAAAGGTCGATGAGTGAACTTAACACTTGAAAATACCTGCATTCTTGTCTTACTTTGGCAAAGGCAACTCAAGCAAATATTCTAATATTTTCGCTCTTCCCTCCATGGCATCAGCAGCAACAGCATAAATGATTAATCCTTTTGCATTAAAAAAAGACACTAGAGGGCAATGGTAGTCTGAAAATAAACTGGTTAATCCATTTCAAGATACTTTGCTCTGGAGAACATACTAGAAAACTGTCCCAGAAAGAGACCTCAAACCTGGCTTCGAGATAGTAAATATTTCCGAGATCTTTTGTTGCTGTTCGCTAAGGAAGATTATCACACACCTATACTAGAGAAAATAAATTCAACTCTAGAATCAAGTTTATAAGAATAGTATGCCATGACAAATTCAGAAATAAAGCAAATTTTAAAAGACTTTTTAAAAAACCCACGAAGGTTCACCGTTGTTTACAGGACTGTTTACAGGAAGTCAGGGATTACACGTCCTTGCAAAATTAAGCAAACTCATAGTTTACATGGTTATAATAAATAATAAAGCCAAAGAGTATTGGTATGAAGGGACTGTAGTATAATACCCTACATAGCAGATACAGCTGGGCATGGATTGCTTGTTCAACATCTTTTAACATCTGTATGTTCTTGTATCCAGAGTTTTCTTACAGTATTTCTCCCTTGCTTACATACTTCTCTCTACTTCCCACCTCCTTTAAGAGCAGACACACTGCCATTTCTCCTTTTCTGCATCCTAGGCTTGCTCTGTACCTGCCTTTACCACTTCACTGCATCACTGGGAAGACAGTCTGTAAGGAAATATGTTCCCCCTACGCTTCAGACAATCCCTAAACCAGAAACCAGCTAAAACCTCTACATAACACTGCATACCCAGACCCAGCCTAAATGTCACTGCTGAGCAAAGCAAGAGATCCATGTTGCTGGTCAGAAGTAAACTGATAGCAAAATCTACTGCAGCAGGTCTGAAAGGGTGTGTGGTGTTCAGCTGCCTGCTGGGCTAAACCACAGGGGGGACATGCAAAAAGACTCCTTATTCTAAATGCATTAAAACAATCTGCATATGATCTCAGTCATGCTGGCACTACTTTAATAGCTGGATCAATTTAAACCATAGCACCATGCTAAATAAAATGCATTCATGCCAGCTCCAGCGCACCAAGAGACCAAGAAATGTTAAATAAGCATTTATCATATTCACAAGTGATGGGTTCTATAAAACCTATTAATTTTTAAGCTTCATTTGGGATACACTACATCCCTCAGAACGAGGAGCAAATCTTTCTAAAAAGGAACAAGAGCAAAAAGGCTCTTCCTCCTAATATAATTAAAAACATTGCTGTGAGTATAGAACAAGTAAAACAAGACTTACGGCATCTGTAAGAGCCGCAAAACAGTTGGCATGCCATTCTTCATAGCTTCACAGGTCAGAATGGATTCCAACACAGACACTACCAAAGGAAGAGTAAGAATGAACACATTTTTGCACTGCAGGGTAGCGAAGGATTTAGAACGAACGTCTGGCACTGCTGTATGAAGCTCCCCTAAGTGCTGCATCAACTAAGCAGGGAAGAAGCTCTGTGGCATGTGGTTTTTATTATAATGTTACTGTTACACATGCAAGCTTTCCAAGAATGTTAGACACGAGGCGAGGGAATCCAGACATCTAATTACTTACTACATGCTCTTTTATCACTCAGTTAAAAAAAAATTATATATATGCTACACATATTTCAGGAAGAACACATTTTCTGCTTTTTAAAAGTTACTGAATCATTTTTTTCCAGTCACAGGCTGCAAAGACCTTAGGCTGCTATTTCACAGCACTTTGGCTTAGGTAAAAGGTGGGAGTACTCAGGAAGCTGAGGTTGGTATTTTCTGGATTGTATACTAACCAACAAACACTGATGGTGCCGGAGGGAAGCTCTCTACTGGGATCGTATCTGGGGGTCTTCCATATGTCATTTCATACAGTAAGTGCCCAAAGCAATGTACATCAACACCTTCTAGAGTCTGTAGGAGAACAAAAAAGAAGAATATAACTTGCTAGAAGTAATCAGCTTCTCGTAACTAGTTTGAAAACATGTGATAACCCATTAAAGAAAAAAAGAGTGGTCTCGTATCTGAAGACAGAAAAGAAGAACCATTAAGACGGTTTGTAACCACAACCACTTCCGTAACTTTAGTTCAAATGAAATCTTCATGCCTCAAGCTACTGCTCTCTCTCTAAGTGATAATACAGATGGGACAGCAGTAGAGTCATGTTCTGTAAAAATACGAGAGCCATATACTCACACGAATCATAACCAAGCACATTTTCCGAGCTAACTCAAACAGCAAGGAATGAGCTCCATAATACAACCACTGCCACTTCACAGGGAGGCAGATAAAAAGACAGCAAAAAACCATACCACACAAACCTAGGAGAGTCTTTCACCCCTCCTTAGGTTTGTACAAGCTATACATATATGCTAAGCTTCCAGACAGCACATTTCTGAGATTTTAAAATCATGTTTAAACAGAAACAGCTCCTCTTACGGGAGAAGGCTTAGAGCTTTGATGGCACTAACAGATTTGGACTAACCATGAACTTTTGATCGTTTCTCTGACAACACAGTAGAACTTGTTTAGCAAGGTCTGCAAGCGGCTGCCTCGTGATGCTGCATGGAATTTATTACAATGAGCACTGAAAGGTAGGGCGAGATGCTGGCTAAAAGACTGTATTGCTACAACGAGGCATTTTTGGGTTCATATTTTTGTAGGAAGATGGTAGTATTCTGCTGTGCGAGCCTGCAGCTAAAAAATCTGCAAGCATCTAATCAATTTTCACAGTATCCACCACAGACAAGGCTGAGCTGCACCCATTGTACACACATGCAAATGAAGAGGTGTGGTAAACAATATGCACATTGCTATGAAATACAGGAACGGGCAGGAAAGAGATCTTAAAACAACTGGAGTTACCTCTATCTGTGCCAGCACAGCTGACATGAGAACACTCACCTGCACTCCCCTTCTACCTGCTTCCCTTTGGCCTCAGCCTTACTCTAGTGCGCTGCAACAAAACTGCTGTGATTTGGAGGAAGCAGAAAGGGGATTTGATGGAGAAAAGTTCAGATTTAAAAAATGGGGTTGAGACATGTGGGTTTTTTTCATTCTAGTCAGCTCTCCATAACCAGAGTTGATGATAAAGGCATAAGAGTTAGCTGAATTAATTATCTGAATCTTACATTAATTTTCCGAAACTGTGAGAAGTATGATCGATAAAATGATGGAAGTCCCAACAAGGAATTTTCTAGATCCAGTAACTTGCAGGTGTCCCCATCCAACATCACGTTGGCAGAATGAAGATGGCCGTAAGGAAATCCTTTCTCATGCAAGAATTTTAATACCTGAAAACAACCCAAGACAGGAGCACTGTCACATGATGCTCTGATGATCTCAAGATCTTAAATGCTCCAATACTAAAGCAGATACATAATAAATGAGGCCCCTGTTTGGAATGCCTGCTCAACTTGATCTTCTATCTACATCATCTTTGGCCGTCTATACATTTCCATTTAACTGCTAACACTTGACATACAAGAAACATCTGATGCTGGTCCTCAAAGCAAGTTTGTACACACCTCCCAAAGAGATCCAGAAATTAAAATTCACAATTCTACTGAATATTATTGAGTAAAAATTGAAAAATACATTCATAACAATTTACATTTTGCTTTGAAGTCTGCTGCTGAAATAAGCTTTTGTGCTCAAAAGTCTGTCTACTTTTTCCAGTTAAACCAGTCGGCCTCAAAAAAAAAATAAAATCAAAAAGGCTGGTAAAAAAAGCAAAAAAAAAAATTACCTCTAATATTTGCCTTCCATATGTTTTTATTTGCTGAAGTTCAAGACCTTGAATTTTTTTAGGATTGCAATACTTCTTCAGGAATGGGTCTTTTGGCTTCGCCTTTAAAAGAAGCACACATATCAAGTATCACGCCCAGAAAAGCCGGTAATTGTATCAGTTCACTTCGCAATAGAAGGTAAACAGCTTCATAAATGACATGCTATGGTCATTCACATTCTGACATTTGAGTTGGGGGCAGCAGCGGGGAGATGTTACCTTATAAATAAGGTCCTTGAGTGTCCCTTTTTCACTGAATGGTCTAATAACCAGCGCTGAAGATTCATTGGCAGTGGCAAAAGTGATTTTGTAAATATAGGGATGCTACCAAAAGAAGAAACTGTAGGTAAGTTTTAGTTAACAGTTTTTGCAATTCATTTTTTGCTCGATTCACAAGTAAGAAAATTTATTGTATGTTCACAGTGACAAACTGCATTGTCAGTGACATCTGCTCAGGTTATTCAGCCTTAACCCGAAGTAAATGCAAAGAAAACTTCACAAGAACACTGTTCAGTTTCCCCATAAGTAATAAAATACCCACCATCTTTTTTTAACAAAGCAGACCGGCAGTTTAGACAAATGAAGAGTCCAGCCCCATTAATACTTACACATGAGCAGCTTTACTGCAGGTTTAAGTCATGCTAAGCTAATAAATTCATTCATGGTTTTATAGAACTACGGCACATAGGGAAACTCAGCATTAAGAGCTGTCATAACAGTTTTATGTCTTCAGAAATTACTATAACGACTTCTTGCAACTTTACAAAACCAAATGAGACGGCACCGTTGGAAATTACACGTACTTTAATTAAAATGGCAAGTTAGGAAAAGACTCCTTGCTAGTGTCCTATTTTAATACATCAGTTTCAGTCTGGTTTGGTGGTTGAAAATAGGAATATTTTCTATTATCTACTAAGATATTTCTGTCTTAAGTTCAAAGAAATTTAAAAAAGTAACAAAAATCATTGCGCTTCTGCCTGAGAATATCCCCAGCACACGGGTTAGCAATTACACCCAGACAGCACCATCCTAACAGCCTGAAAGTGTCGAGGAGCTGAAATAAAAGCTCATGATCTCACACTACTGCACAAGAAAAAAAAATACAATTAACCACAACTCCAGATCTCCTGTAATAACCCTGCAGAATTATTGTTTGTGCTGAGAACACGTTACCCCATATTGTGTGGGAAATGTAATTTAAAGGTTCGCACATCTTTAAATAAAAGGAACTCTAAAATTACAAACTGTATCTACTAGACTACACGTGCTTTTGCAAAATCAGTCCTCGACAAGCACTCTTGTGCTGGCACAATTTAAAAGTCTTCAAATAATACTCACAGAACAGGAAGAAAGAAGTTTCACAGCATACTGCAAGTCTTTGTCGGACAAGTATTTATCAGGGCCAAGATCAGCCTGAAAATAAATAGGAAAAGAACAGCATCATAATGGATGTTGCACACCATAAAGAAAATGTGATATGTATTCTGTTCTCACAAATTAAGACAGCTGCTTGAAGGTACATTTTGAAGGGGAAGCAAGGAAATTACATATACAGAATGAAACTTGAAGAGGGTGAACGAGGCCATGGTTTCACAATACAAAGTGTCTGACAGTAGATAAGTATTATAGCCTCCTTCCTCCCTCATATCTGACGAGCCTTACTATCACTGAATGAACTCTGCCAACTCCAAACTTGGGGACTGTGTGCATTGTGAAATGATGAAGCTTAAACCCCCCCCTTCTTCCTCTCCAGCAAAAAAACCCTTCCCTCCTACTGCAGGGTTCGCTGGCATCCGCTCTGCAGTGAAGTCTCACAAACAGCCATGCTGATATATTTAATAGGACAGTATCTTACAGCACAGGAACACAAGCAAGTGTTTAGTAACAACAATTTGGTGTTGATACACATCTACCTTAAAGGAGCAATTCATGCCTCTCTTGGCTCTTAGTTTGTCAGTACAACTACAGAACCAAGAAAGAAAACCCACCTCTTCAAAAAGGATCGCCTTGCTATTTTCAGTGAGCAGATTTATACTACAGCCAACAGGTACATCATGACAACTACAGTAACCTGAGGTGCAGGAATGGGAACAAATGACCAGGCACAGACACTTGCAAAGTGGATTTGCCACCAGAGGAAAGAAACACGAGAAGTTCCCACACCACACACTGAAGGGCTTTCAAGGCTCTTTCGAAGCCTGAAGTCTTAATATAAATGAAATAAGCCAGGTTCATTAAGAAAGACCTGAGTATGAGATGAAAGTATATATA